GCATTTTCTAAGGCGATTTACGTAGCCATCTACGGTTTCTTCTGGGCCTTGAGTACAGCTGTTGAACAGATATCGTTCGTACACCACGTTGCGCTTTGGTTTGAAGTAGGCTTCTAGCGCGTTTAAGCATGTGTTTACGTCGTTCTTTTCTTCGTCACTTAACTTGAGATTAAGGAATATKTGCAGACATTCCTTCCCCATTACAGAGCGAAACGTTGCTAGTCGTATCTTTGGGTCTTGCTGGTACAGTCCGGTTGCGACTTCGTAGTCCTCCCACTGTTGTTTAAAGAAGTCCCAATTGTTTACTTGATCTCCTTTGGTATTCATCGGCGTTGGTACCGGAAAATGCGACGTGAATATTGGTCCTCGTGGACCGCTGCTGGTCGAAGCTTCCTCCTTACTTGACATATTACTTCTTCAATGCCTCCAGCAGTAGGAACTTGACGGTTTTTTCAGCTACTTTGGAAGCGTTATTTCCAATTTATTTCTGACACCATGTTTCAAGACGTGTTCGTGTTGGTGGGGAAATAGTTATGCGTCTTTAATCAAACAATCACTTCTCTAAGTATCTAATTACAACTGCGTAAGCTAATATTGTAACAGTCTGAAAGTGCCGTGACTTTGGCGTGACCGTGTCCGCGCCGTGTTTATGCCGTGTTCTGGGTATTTGATTGGATGGAGCCAAGGGCGGATCCAGGGGGAGGGTCGGGGGGGTCGCGACCCCCCTGTCATTCCTGAGGTCAAATGGGCTTCCTGTGGTAAAAATGCGACTGGGATTCCTTTGCCCACAAAATTTACCCCTGAGACCCCCCATTCAAAAAACCCTGGATCCGCCCTTGGGAGCCGAGTGAATTCTCGAGCAATGTGATTTGTCTGGTGTATCCCTAGCCGTGTCAGGAACGTGTTCGTGCCGTGAGCTTTTCACAGTCATGCGAAAAGTGCTCTATATATGGTGGTGTTTGTACAGGGACGGCAGAGCAAGGTAAGGAAGTATTTAGCTGGGGGTCCCAACCCTTTACAATGAATGACACCTTATTCTCTCTTAGTTTGTTAAGCCTTTTAACTCAATTGTAGCGCTCATACAAGTCACGTACACATAAATAAATAAATATCTTTTAATTAAGTGTCTAGTCGTTCTAGCGCTTTCACACTAATTGGGGACACTTTTCGCTCACACGCATTACCACTACATTCAATATTCTATACACACAACGCTCAACTCACATGTTGATTTTTATGGAGGGAGGAAACCGGAGAACCCGGAGAAAACCCTCATAGCATAGGAGAGAACAATACATCAAACAAACTCAATTCACGTGGCGACCGCAGGGCTCGAACCAGCGACCCGACCCGCTGGACTCACAGCGGTAAAAGACGACACGTTAGCCGCGAACACCACCCATGTATCTTTATATCCGATACTCCGTCTTCTTCAGTTTTTATTAATATATTATATTTTCGCTTACCCAATCAAAATCTTTCCACCACGGTCAGACATGTTTCCTCTGGTACTCGGAGTGTCAAAGGTACTCGCTCCAATCATACCAAGTATGATGCCCGATAGAGCTAGAATAACCATGATGAAAACCAACGTCCCGCTCAAACTATACGCAATGTTTCTGCAAACGAATTAACACCAAAGAACAATAAGAGCGCAGTGTGTATTTGGGATATCTATGGATGAGTTAACTGCTAGAAAGCTAAGCTCAAAAAACGTTGCAGTGGCGGATCCAGGACTTTAAGAGGGGGTTCATTTTTGCAAATCTCGGCACAACAATAA